ACAATTCAAGAAAGAAGAAAAACGTCCACTTCAGCCCGTCTCTACTTGTCTGTACTCAACGAGTTCCTGCCTCTTGAATTCCTGCATCTTGAAAACTTTTCTCTTTACACAAGCCCACGTGAGATATCCCCCCCCCCCCCCCCCCATTTTCAATTTATTGGTCATGTAGCTGGTGGTCATGTTTCCAGAGCGTTTGTGAGAATCGTTGCGAGGGACCGATTTCGTCGTGGTACCGAGGAATTGGTAAGTGCATTGGATTCACCAGCAATGGCTGAGGCAAAAGTATCTGTGAATGGGGAATAGAATCATCGTTTGTCGTTGTTAAAGTTCAGACTCTTACGCAGGGATTCTGCCATACAATTCGCTTTTTATTCGCCGACCCGGTCACAACGTTTATGGCGTGCCCATGACTTTGTGATGTGATTATACAATATCTTCATGTTTGAGTGAATCTTTTTCTTCAGTAGAAAGTTTTGTCGTTTCGTAACTTTTTTAATGCCACACTACTATGACAGTACCTCTTGAATACCCGTGTAGACACCTCAGTCCGGCATTACTTCGGATCTGCTATCCAACCAATCACTTGTGCGGGGCGTCGACATACCCTCCGGAATAGAATAGGTATGCAACGAGATCCGTACCGTGTTAAAAGCAATATCAAAAGCATTGTAGAAAGCAATCCGCCTTGAACGATGACTAATCTACGCTCGACGCAACACTTGTTTAAAAACATCGAAAGGCATGTACTTGTATCTACGATGGCGGAATATAGAACATTGAAGTAGATCAAGTGCGGGGCAACGGGTCTGTACATGCGTGACAGACTGCAGACAATGGCAACAAAACTGTACGCCACGGACATTGTACCGCAGGTCAGGCGGCGAGATTTCGAAAGCAGTCTCGAATTGCGTTATCATTGGGATAGATGCCACATTGCCTTCCACGCACATGGACAGAAGGATGCAGATGTGGCCGTATTAGAATAGAAGCCGATGGCCTCAGATAATTGGCATACTTCGCGCTTTTCGATATTTGTTCCATTTTGTTCTTCTCCGCATCGCCGCAGATCTTTTGACGGTTTTTGTTCAGGCGACAGCGTGAGCGATTCGCACGTTGACATTCTGACAGCAGCTCCGGTGATCGATTGACACTCCAAGGAAGCCATGAGACTGTTGTTCTTTTATGACGGGGGATATGGTGGTAATCTGCTCGGCGGGGGGCTCTACAACTAGCGATGGTTCACGGATGGTGCCATTTTTCTATAGAAGTACATGCTGGTGGTAGAGTGTAGGACTTGGGTATGATATGTGTTGGATGCAGAGGTGGAGGGTAGGCAGATATAGAGTTGGACGTGGTGCTCGAACTTTATAAGGAAGCAGTTGTGGGGTTCTGTACCACGCGAGACAATCCAACTAGTTGCAACGGTTGCAAGCGAGAGACGGATGCATTGGGTTGGCACGATGTGAATCAAACGGGATGCAGGTGGGGGAGATGGTATAAAAGGAACCCTCCCTTTAAGAAGACGGTTTGTAAGACGGTGTTGTTCGTTCTCATAGAGAGGGTATTCCAATGACGAGACTGTATAGTATCATACCTGTTGCAGTGACGGGTGCTGCGCAAAAATGTTTTGTGTGTTTCTTTAACGCTGTATGCAATACATAATGATGTAGAGTTGTTCTTTCGATGAATTGGTGCTCGAAATATAAGGAAACAGTTGTGGGGTTCCTTAACACGCGAGACATTCTAACTAGTTGCAACGGTTGCAAGCGAGAGACGGATACAATGGAACAATGTGAAACAAACGGGATGCAGGTGGGGGGCAATGGTATACAAGGAACCCTCCCTTTAAGAAGACGGTTGGTAAAGACGATGTTGTTCGTTCTCATAGAGAGGGTATTCCAATGAGGAGACTGTTCAGTATCATACCTATATGATTTTGTGTTGTGATTGTACCACATCTTTATGTTTGAGCGAATATTTTTCCTCAGTTGAAAGTTCTGTCGTTCTGCAACTTTTTAATGCTACACTACTATGACAGTACTTCTCGAATACCCCTGTAGACACTTCAGACTGGCATTACTTCGGCTCTGCTATCTAACCAATCACTTATGCGGGGCGTCGACACACCCTCCTGAATAGAATAGGTATGCAACGAGATCCGCTTAAAAAAGTCACAACTATATCTTCTATCAAAATTTGAGTGTGCCTCACTGTTGTGGCTATATTCCACTCATTCAAGTAAGGAGATTTGCGGGCAGCAGCCTACTTTCGACCAAGGAGTTGATCGGCATCCATATAGATACCAGAGCGTTTTAATAGAATATGACCTCATTAAAGCAGTATTGCGGTATTTGAGAAATGTGTGTAGGGAATATTCATGATGCAGAGTTGCTCTTTCGATCCATAGTAGAGGGCTGAATGTACGCGGAAAAGAAGGTTTGTGTATGGCGTGGACAAGGGAGTGGAGAACGGGTTTGGTTTGGATGCAAAAGCATGGACGTGTTTCAATATAATGCGGAAATGGCGGGATTTTTGCATTTTAGTAGGTTAAGCTGCTTCAAGGCACAAGCGAGTGGGTCACGTGGCAGGTGAGGCGGTGGCCCCCGTTAGTGTTCGGTACACCCGTGCCCCCCTATGCGTCCTCTTCCCCCTGCACCCCCCTGCGAAAGCCCGCGGCCTTATAAAAGCTGCGTCCGCTCCAGCCCCCTACCTATTCCCGTTCGACTCCCACCGTCAGGTTGATAATTTCAAAACCAAGTGCAATATCCTACCAGTTCAGTCGTTCCAATCACCTCACCATGGACTTTGACAAGGCCGTCCAAGAACAATCTACTGTACAGTACAACGGCGGACAAGAAAGTGAAATCTCCGAAGACGTTCATCCGCATATCGAACAAGGCAGGGCCTGGTTTGTGTGCGAGTGTGTAGAAAGTCAAGAGTTTCCCGGAACTCTGATATCTATACATAAACGAACTGAGACCGTAGCAGGGGCACCAGGAATCGATGCGCGATTGAGATCTGCACCTACAAAAAGCGAAGGCAAGGTGCTCCCAGACGGGTCAACCTACGTAGCCTCTGCTGTTCAATATACTCAGGGCGATGATGCACAGAAAGCCAAACTAAACGTCGTTAACAACGACGTTAATGCACTTATCGCCAAGATGACATCAATCCAAGCAACTGCTATGCAGATACTGCTTTCCAAAGGCTCCGTCACTCTACCAGGTGATAGCTCGCCTGTGGTCAGATTGGGTACTGGGCAGCAGCCTAAGGACGCTTACAATAATAACCCACGGTTATGGGAGGCAGTGTTCCGGAATACTTCTATCAAGCTGCAGTCGCTTGGTTTTGTGGCTTCCTCATCACAGGTTCAGAGCTTCAAGTGGTCCGGTACCACTATTGGTACTGCTTTCATTACTAGCGTGATCCGCGCAGCGGTCATCGGAATGTCTGGTGGTGCAATCGAGACGATAGCGGGAGCCATAATGTCTAGGCTGGGTGACGATCTGCAGATCACTTATCAAGCGACAACCTCCTCGTCAAGAACGTCGGCATTGTTGCCTGTCTACTACTACAATGAACTCACCGGGAAATTCGGAGCTGTAATTGCCGTTATCACGGTCATTATGAGTAAGAGTACCAGGGACACAACAACCGCTTGTTATAGCAGCTCATCGGTCACTACGACTTACAATAGTCGAGCTGTGACTTACCGGGTGAGCCCTGATCTGCTCAGGAAACAGATCGGAGACAACCAATCAGCGATCGACGCCGGCGCTGAATTCTTTGGGAACTCAGTCAAGGCAGGAAAAGCTGCTGCGGCGTCTTCGCCAAAGTCCACTCCAGCGTTCTTCTAGACATTTGGCATGACAATGTTGTACTCACGATGTGTTTCTAGAGTCCTAAATGGTTGTCGGGTTAGTATAAAAGGGCAGCCATCAAATCCCAGTAGGGGAAGAGAACGGGTACCTTAAGAAGAAACATTGAGAGAATAAAGAAGTACCGTTTGTCGGTATCTAGTTTTTTCTTTAATTTTTAGCCAAGTCGCAATTGTTCTTGAAGAATTTTCATACTCGGGTCGTCGGGGCGGCTGCCCGCATCCACGCCCATCTGTGCTACCCGCCGGTACACGGTGTAGCACAGGTGGGCGCGGGGGGGCGCCGATACTCCCCCGAATGCACACCGCCTCGCACACGTGTACCGTATATCCGCGCTCAGCTGTGCCAACCAAGCGTCACACACCTCCGCGGGGACGCCTGCGTATGCATGCACGTATGATAAAAAAAGTCTATTTACAACAAGGCAGAACCCAAGGCAGAACCGGCATCGGTGTATGCCGTTTGTTTAACTTAATGTGTACCTTATCATATACGTTACATCTTTATTTACAACAGAGCTAAGACCCTTTATTGAACACTTTCTGTTTTTTTAGAAAAACTTTCTTTTTCCCAGCGCCTGCTCACAAAAGCAGTTGTGGAAATTATCAGCTGACGGTGACTGTTACTGTCCGCCAAGTGCATCCGAATCGTTGAAAAAGGTGCATTAAATATGGACAGAATTTAATTGACCTCATCTGTCAACCTACAGTGCATCTCTCAAACAACTCTACTGATAATGCAATAACTCGTAATTATCAGCAAAGGGATCGCAAATAAGAGAGTAAAACGGGAGGATGAGACGCGCAGGAGTAGTAGTATAAATAGTCAGAAGCCCGGGCAGAATAGCTGCTTCGGGTAAGCAAAAAAGGACGAAACCAGCACAGTAAATTGACGCGAACATTCTCGCCCGGTCCTGCCGGTTAACACTTACTGTTTTTTTCTACTTTTGCGACAGTCTAGACTCTACGCTCAACTAGTTTCTTCGAGAAGAACAACAACAACCTCAGTCTTTCAAGTTCAAGTTTTTTTGGTCTTTTCGAGAGTGGTCTTCTTATCTCTTTTTTGATATTAACGCAGTACGTTTTATCAAAAAAGAGGTAAAGCCGCCTTCCTCTTTAAGATAACTCTCATCGGAAATAATAAAAAGAGTAAGTTCTTTATTTTTCCGCTACCTCTAAAATAGGAACCTAGTTGCCTAACTAATTTCTATTTTAGTGGTATTAAAACCAAATTCAGACAAGGACCTTGGGGCACCGCAAGCCCCCGAAGAGCAGTCAGAAGAACTCTCTCAGCCGGGCGCACGGAGTCGACCCTGCACGCCCGTGGTAAACTGGGACAGCGACGGGGAGGACTCCATCACCGTTTTGGACCTCGTCGAAGAAGAGGCTACCCCGGCGGACCAACCCCGCCCGGAAGACAAGATTTACGAGAAGAAAACACGTGTACAGAATCTACACGCAAATAGTTCTGGACACGTGGACAGCGCGTCACAGGTTCTTCGCCAAATTAAGGCCCGGACTACAGTACTGAAAAGTAATTTGCCGGTTCTACCGGAAGGCGTGAATAGGACACTACATCGCGTGGCCACCTCACGAATCGGGAAAAAGCCTGCTCCTGCCCCCCTGCTCACGTGTCAGGTGTGCCAAGTCACGTTGACTGGCAGGCACCAACTCCGCCAACACAGGGGTGGGAAGAAACACCGCGCACGCGAGGCTCGACATCAGCGCGAGGCCGAGGACTTCTACTGTGACATTTGTGCGCGTTTCTTTCCCTCCGCGCACGACCTCGACAACCACGTCATCGGCTCTATTCACCGCCGCCGCGCCCAATTCTTGCGTGAGCGCCATCTCACACGCCAAATTTAGAAAGTAAAAATTGTTTTGAATCATTTTCTAATTTATCATTCTCTAATTCAAAACAATTTTTTTGAAACATTTCAGAAGCTATTTTGCCACAATCAAGAGACCAACTTCAATTGTTTCCATCTTTCCGAAATTAGTACACAACACGTATTACACGGTTGACACAAACCCAAAAATCGGATACGTGTCACACATTGCACTAGGTGTGAAAATTGCACACGTGTTTACTACTGTACTAGCTGTGAGCGTTGCACACCTGTACGCGTATTCAGCTTGAATTTGTGTGAGCCATAAAAAAAAGTCAAAATTTCAGTATAATTGTAAGGTTGCAGAAAGCTTATTTTTTCTAAGGCTAAAGTAACTTACTAAATTACTTTTTGGAGATTTTAACTCACCAAACACTATGGATAACGGAATTGACGAGGCAGCTATAGAGGCCATCACCAAGGAACTTAAAACGTATACACCACCATCTCCAGTTCACAATGATATTATATCAGTTATTACGCTACACATTACTCGCGCAAAATCTGAAAATATTTTGGACACGGAACTGGTAGAAAGATTACGTGAAGACCTCCCTGTTGAAACTCTATATTCCTTCGAAGTACTGAAGGGCACCACGTTCGTTTTCAGAATCATCCGTGACTTCTTGCGTGCAGAAGGTGTAGAGTATATCAGACATCCCGCAACTGACCGCATCTCATGGGGATTAGTAAAAATGTTATACTCAGACTCGGACGACATCGATTTTGCTTACGAAAGACTTGTTCAACACAAGAAAAGTAGTCGAGCATGTATGCCTACTAACAAGGAAATTGAACGTCAAGCCGGCCCACCAGTACAAAGTTACCCCCCTGTGAGACGTGACTCCGAAGCAAGAGCCGCTCACAACATGGCATTGCGATTCAAGAACCAGGATAAATTCACGGGAAAACTGGGTGAGGACCTCACGGAACACATCAATAACTACATTGATGCCGCCCAGGACTACAACCTTGACCAAACCAACAAACTTGCCTTTTTCCACAACATATTCGATGGAGAAGCTAAGAGATTCTATCGAGAGAAGGTGAGGGACAGGTGTGGAAATTTTGGTCAGGCATGCCAAGTTATGCAAGACGAGTACAACAGCATAACTCGGCAGAACAGAATCAGGAAATACCTCCAGAGCCTGAGAATTCAATCTTTGATGCATGCCAAGAAGCTCAACACTGCAGAAGCTTTGGAAGAGTTACGTGAGATCATCACACGTTTTGCTCCTCAAGGACCGCGGACTCACCGTTCCGAGGAAGACAAGGTGGAATACCTTTACAAGGCTGTCGTTGGTGCCCCGTGGGCCAAGTCAGCCCTTGCGAACTCGCAGTCCACATCTAATCCTTGGGACTTCCAACATCTGTATACAGCACTCCACGCCGCCTGGCTTCAAGACCAGGAAGAGCAAGAAGGTAGAAAGAAAGATCTGAACATCGGTCAATCTTCCCTACATAAAGAGATAAAATCTTCATCCAAATATACTCCTGATCTTTACTACGAAGGTCAGAAATATTACGGACGACCGAAGAAACCAGGATCACGCTCATCTGCCCCATTCAGGCCCCCTCAAGACAGCACAAAAGCCGGTCAAAATGGGTTAGACCGTTATGGCAACCCCAGGCTATGCAACAATTGTCAGGACCCTAATCATTTCATCAGGGACTGCCCCAAACCTCGCAACGTGATGCGAAATATTTCATCGCAAGTCAGGAGATATCCGAAGAGAAGCCATCAAATCCTCTTCGAACTCTGTCAACAAGTGGAAGATGCGTTGTTCTCTACAGACGAAGAAGACCCTTCTGCTACCCTTACAGGGGACAACTTCAAGCAGGAGGACTCTACCTCATCAGAGGATGAGACGCCTGAACATCCCGATAAAGGAGGACAGGTATTCCACGTTACTGGTTCTGAGAATCGGGGCATTGCATCAGTTCTTGATCCAGAGGATTTTTGAGGAGAGGCAGTCTACTTTACCGTCGTAGTTTGAAGTCCAAAGAAAATAAATCACGCTACGAGACTGTCCTCAAGAAAAAACGGTCCCGGTACAAAATCTCGCGTAGGTCAAGGACAGCCCATGACATACGAAGAAACCGGCGTCTCAGAAAATCCTCCAACGATGCAATGACCAATTCTGTGTTAAACTCTCGCCGAGGTCTTTCACAGATGAGAATCAATTTGGATGAACGCAGGAAAGACTGGCAGGGAGCTTGCATCGACACTGGAGCACAACGCACTGTAATCGGACAACTGCAAGCCCAAGCATACTGCAGATTTGTTGGGAGTAAGTTCAAACTAAAAGCGAACTTCAACCAGTACAGATTCGGTGTTGATGTGCAGAAGTCAATCGGATCAATCTCAATTCGATTACCGTTTCTCAAGAACGGATTTGTGCCAATTGAGGTTGACGTAGTTAGAGCGAATGTACCTTTTCTTTTGGGATTGGATTTGCTCGATAAACTTCAACTATACCTGGATACGACAAGAAATGTACTAATCAGTTCTCCGGGAAACATTTCTGTCCCAGTCGTAAGGAAGTTTGGACATGTCTACCTGGAATGGAAACGGGAAGATGCAGTACTATTCTCAAGAAGTGAACTGGTCAAACTTCATAGAGGTTTTCGACACCCAACGGATACGAAACTTCTGAATCTCATCAGAAAAGCTCGACCGCACGAGGCCACCGAGGCCACCACAAAAGTCTTGAAAGAGATCTCTAAGTCATGCAATACCTGTCAAAGGCTTGGATCACAACCAATTAGCTTCAAGACCACGTTACCCACACTGCAAGACGTTAAGTTCGGTGAAGAAATATCAATGGATCTGATGTTCATCGAGGGAAAAGCAATTCTGCATATTGTCGACACTGCAACTCGTTTCAGCTCGGCCATATTTTTAGACTCTCAGGGTCGGAATTACGGACAATCAGTCAACGGAATATGGCTTGCTTTCCTTGAAGCGTGGTGCACTCTCTATACAGGATTCCCTAACCGCGTCAGAACTGATGCGGGATCCGTTTTCACTTCGCCTAGGTGGAAGGAAATGGCCGAAAGCGTTGGGATAGAACTTCGAATTTCAGGAGTCGAAGCTCACAACTCATTAGGCATTGGAGAAAGACTACACGCACCCCTCCGAAGAATTTATCGAAG